TCATAGTTTAATTTTTTATTGTTTTTACTTTTAACCTTATTTTTATTTTCTTAATTTTAATTTTATTTGTAATTTTTAACATAAATATAATAAACTTATGACAGTATCACATTGTTAAAAAAAAAAAAAAAAATAATACGAAAAATATAACTATACTTCAAGAAATAATTGGAGAATTCTAGGATAATAATGAAAAACGTCTAAAAGAAGAATGTACTTATATTATCATTGATTTACTAATTCTATCCAAAATGATAAAGTTGAAACAGGATATGGAGTAGGAATTGGCAAATAAGGACCAGAAATTAAAAAACATGAATCAGGATCTTGTGAAATTTATGCAACAACTAGGATTGATGAATCAAGGTAAATAGAGCAATTCGACTTTTAACTATAGGATATTTTATAATTATTTTTTAATTAATTTGTCAATAGAGTTTAATAATGGGTCTGACAATGAACTTAATGACTTTCATGATTGAATCAGCAATAAAATTTTAAAATCAGCGAACACTTATGAAGCTGTTATTGACAGTAAGGTTGATAAAAATGACCCATCAATAATTGGTAAAGTTGAAGAGGATAGAAAGAATTTGGGTATGCATACTAAGGAAAAACTTAAATGTAACGAATATGGAGCTTTAATTAGTTCACAGGAGAATCTGAACTAACACAAAAGACTACAGCATAGAAGAATATTATATGAATGTAGATTTTGTAATTTTGAAATGAAATATGATGGACACTTGGTGTTGTATGTTTATAAAAAACATAAAATCATTACGCTAGAAATGATTTTTTAGAAAAAAGATCTTAATACGAACACTTGAAACATAATAAGCGTTATTTTTTTAGTCATTACCTTTGGTGTCAGATCTTTGAAAACTAAAAAATTTAGCGGATTATTACTCCCCTAATAATTAATATTTTTTGCTTGTGTCATGCGAAGAGACTCTCGATTGTATAACTTATTTATTTGTATCAGTTATTTTGATAATGATCTATTTCATAAATAAAGTATAATTTTATCGAGTGTAGTAGTGTACTATTTATAAGAAAAGTTATCACGTGAAATAGTTCAATTTCTTTTTAAGATGATTTTGGATAAATATTTTTTCTTACTCTCGGAAGAATCATATACACATCATGCATGTACTCTTATATGACAAAAAATAATAGATTTGTATAACAACCGTTTAAGGTAATAATTGAAATATACATGTTAACTTCTACCTATTTTTTTCCAAACGAATGTGAAAAAATGTGAAAGAGCGTTTAGTTGCAACACAAAACCTACCCTATGAGTTAATATTGATGACGGAAGCATATGTTATGAAAGACTAGGGGACTTGCAATTCTGAGATCTACAAAATCTAAGAGAAGACCAAAAATAACGTCATTTAGTAAGGGGAGGGAGGGTATTCAAATGATGACATTACACAAATTTTGATTTCCATTTTTAGGGAGAGTCCTACAATAAGATGACGTTACATGAGAAATTTACCATTTTTTGGAGAATCCTACAACAAAATGATGTTACATGACATTTTACGAAAAATTTACCATTTTTGGAAGGATCCTGCAACAAGATGATATTTCACAAGAAATGTATTATTTTAGATAAATCAGCTATTAAAAATTCTGCAATTCCAAAATTTAGCGTTAGAATAGTGGTACAATTTCAAAATTTAGCATAGAATAGTGATACAATTTTGAAAATTTTGTATACAGTAGCGGTCATAAGTATCCGACCGCCTGAGATCGTCCAAAATTATTATATAACTACCCCTTAAATTTTCCA